GGGCATCATATATATACATATATAATGAAAGCACTCCAATGATGTGCAGCTGCAGCGACGTACATGTATTTCCTCTCATCAACGTTGATGTCGGACCACTTAAAAAAAAAAAAAAAAAGCTACTTCTCCCATTTGAATCTTGCGCTATTATCAGCAACCTACTACCTTCTTCTGCAACACATCCATTATCACAATCTGACACTAGTACAATTGGTTTACCTTCAGTAATCTTTTTATTTTATTTTGTTGATGGTGCAGTTGGTAGAGCTGCCGGTTCTCAACAAGAAAGTTTCCGGATCAAATCCCAGCCCGGCGCCTTTCGGTGAGGGGTTTGCATGTTCTATCGGTGCATGCGTGGGTTTTCTCCGGGTACTCTGGTTTCCTCCCACAGACCAAAAACATGCATGTTAGACTGATTGGTAACTCTAAATTGTCCCTAGCTGTGAGTGAGAGAGTGAATGGTTGTTTGTCTCTATGTGTCCCTGTGATGGACTGGACACCTGTCCAGGGTGTATCCCTCCTCTTGCACAGTGACTGATGGACATGAGCACCAGTGATCCCCCACGAACCGAAAAGGAAGATGCAAGTAAGGAAGATGGATGGCTGGATGGCTGGATGGCTGGATGGCTGGCTGACTGGCTCGCTGGCTCGCTGGCTGGCTGGCTCGCTGGCTGGCTCGCTGGCTGGCTGGATGGATGGATGGTCTTATTCAGCACCTGTGCCATGGTCATTTAGAAGCAGGGTAGAAGCCTCATATGTATTTCTACTATCTTGCGGGTTTATTTGTCAGATTAAATAAAGCGTTCCAAGTGAAAGCTGCAATCGATTTCACGAAAATTGAGATTTATGAAAGAAAAAATTGTGCAGAAACCTTCATGCACACAGTTTTATGAATGTAAATAATTTTGCGCTTATGCACTTTTAGAATGTTGCTTGTTCACGAGATTTCAGTTTGAAAGCCGTGCACGAGGCCCCTGAAGAGCCATCACTATTATCGAGTGCTCACATTGTTTAGCATAGTGTTGTGTATGAATATTTCTGTTGAGTTATTATTCTTATGAATGTTTCTGTTCAGTGCCCTGAGATGACTTCTGTTGTGACTTGGCACTATATAAATAAACAGCATTGAATTGTGTCAACAGCATAAATGATCTTGCAAGATTAAATGAATTTACTGGTTTTATTGTGAAATTAACATTGCAGTGTGTCTCCCCTGTGATCATCTTCAATGAAACAATACTCTCATTCTCTCCTTGGCTTTAAACTTGACATCAGATGTAAGAGCATCTTGTTTTACCAGTCAGCCCATGCTCCTAGCAGGAAGTATTTTGTTAGGCACTCACATCAAGCCACAAGCCCTGAGAAAAACCTGTCCACCCAGGAAGCAAGTCACATGCATTTTTTTTTCTATTTTCTGTCTTTCTCCTTTATTATTTAATTGTTATGTGTTAAAGTTCAAAAAATATTATCTTTAGTAAATAAATATGAGCTTCAGGCAATTTCAATATGATTTAGTTTAAATAATAACAGACATAATTAAGTGATTATTTCAAGTAGTTACATTTTAAGTGATTACGGTTGATATTAATCCTTACACTTCTGTGCATTATACATTTATTGGGCTTGATCAAACATTTCTTTTCACAAAAAATATGAATAACGTAACTAAAAACATTTTGATCCTTCAGTCAACTGTAACAAAAGCAACGTGTTTGTTTACAGAAATAAATGTTTTAAATTCTATAATGTTATTGCTTTTTACAACCATAGAACAATAAATTAATAATTGCATAAGCCTTGTATGTCCTATACTGCATCTTTATGGAAAATTGGAAAAAGACAACAACCAAACAAACAAACAAAAAAAAACCCAACAATACAGGTTCAAGAAGGCCAGTCTGTGATCGAGAGGTTATCAGATCGATTCACTGAAGTGACAGCAATGATTTGGGTGGAGACAGTGATGCACTCACATCTGCCTCCACTTTCATTTACCCCACTCTGGTCCATTTAGCTGGCCCTTTATTCCTTTATTCCACCCCACCCCCCCGCCACCCCCCCCTCTCATCTGCTCCCCCTGGCACCCAGATGATAGCCCTCTGCTCCACATGTGGGCTGCAGTAACTCAGTGATTGTATCAGGAAGGGCATCCGCGGCATATACTATATATATATATATATATATATATATATATATATATATAGTAGTCATAAGATCATTTTGACATTGGTTAGCCATGCAAAAAGCAGGTAAACTGTGGCATGAAAAACATGAATTTTTTTTTTGTCAAGAAATAACCACATTATAAGTTGCAATAATTTCAGATGATCTGCACACATGGCTGCAATATCCTGATCAGTTCTCCTCTAGTTATTACCTCGCTCTTTATACGTCAATCTGGCAATGACATTAAAAACACTTTTTCTTCACAGCTTTCTGTTGTCTCCAGTTAACCCTCAAATCAAAAGGGAGAAGAAAAATAAAACATTTTTACACTGGCTACATTGCCAGGTTAAACACAAAAATATATATTGGGGTAAACTTGTCAAAAGACACATAAAGACTGTCAAGAAATCTGCAGGTAGTGTAACACACTGAGCCAATTTACTAAAACATTGACATTGTCCTGTTTCACAAAACACTGGAGCCACTCAGAGTAGATGTAACATTTTACCCACATTCAAAGAAAAGCGCCTTGTCTACATAAAAATCTTTATTTATTTAATTATAATTGAATAATATATCTTCTTGGATAAAGTTCACTTGTTAAATGAAATGCGAAATAAGTTCAGTATTAAACTGAAAGTAGATTGTTTTTAGTTTATTTATATTTATATATTTCTTGAAAAAAGTTCATGTATTCTTAACTGAGTTGATGGTAAACACTTATTACTTGTCTCCTTTGCTGCTGAAAATTTAAATTAAAAAAATAATAAATATTGCACATAATAAAATATCTATGTGCTAGGTTGAGAAGATTGTAGAACTAATGCAATAAGGAATACAACATCAGACAATAATACAACATAGATCTTTCACAAGGAATTACACAATGCCTGGAGGCAATTAGTGCCCATTTAAAATGCCATAAATCAGTGGCGGTCCTGGCCTTTTTGGCGCCCTGGGCGAGCAACCCCAACGGCACCCCCCCACAGTCCAGCGTGTTGTTTCCATGTGTTGGTCTGGCCACATGCTGGTAAAATCTTGGGAGGCAGTCTTTTAGATTCGTGTGATTAAAGTCTCCAGCTACCACGTAAAGAGCCCCAGGGTGTTTGTTCTACATCGAGCTAAAATGCTTATGCAGCTCCTACAGAGCATCAGCAGCATTAGCATCTGAAGCTATGTAAACAACTGTTATGAAGGCCACTGTGAATTTGCGGCGTAGATAATGTGGTCGACATTTCACTGTTAGCTGCTCCAAAGCCTTGGAACATGAGCTTTTTACTAGCATACAGTTTGTGCAACAACTTTTACTCACGTAAATCCGCCTCTCCTCGATTTCCCCCTAGCTCACTGCAGCGATCCGCTCAAAAAGAGTCTGTCATCCAGCTGGAACGCTGAGTCCGGCATGTCGCTGTTAATCCATGATTTTGTGAGGCAAAGCACCGCACATTTCCTCATCTCCTCTGAGGCATCCACTCTCAGATGAAGCAAATCCATCTTGTTGTCCAACAAGCGGACGTTTGACAGAAAGAGAGATGGTATCAGGAGTTTGACAGCTTAAGCGTTAGCTCGTAGCCTCTCCAGAATTCCAGCCCGGCAACCTCGCTTCTTAAGCTCGGAGCAGCACTTCATCAAGCAGCTTCTCTGTCTTTGCAACAGCTTCCAGGTAGATGCCTTTAAGAGCTGCATTCTGCCAAGCGTAGATTTGAGTTTGTTGCTGATCGCTGCTATATTTCGTGGCAAATCAACTCTTATTCTTAATGTGATACAACAGATTTAAAAAATACAAGTCTTAACTTTTTATCCCCCCCCCCCCCCCCCCCCAATGAAATTGATGTTTTCGTCATGGATTTCTCATTTTACTAATGCTATATGGTGTCACTTATATGGGTTTTATGAACTCAGAACACACAATGTCATGATTATAATGCAATTAGCTGTTCGGTG